CTTCGAAGGGAAGCAAAGCAACTTGCCGAAATAATCGATCTTCAACAACAATTAAAACTTGCTCAAGACCAGGTCAAGGAATTAGAAAGTAGTTTAAGAATTGCTATTCAAACTTCCGAAATAGCCACTCAAACCAACTTTGGCTGAGATGAAGAATTAAGACAAAAGGATTTGAAGATAGAACAACTTAAACAACAGTCAACTAAGCAAAATAAATCGTCCATTAAAATCAGGAGATAAATCGTAATTTAGGAGATGCCAGTTGAATGGATTTGTCAACAGAGACCGGAAATAAACCTTTAAGCCCTTCGCAAATCAGAGCCCGAGAAAAACAAAAAAAGCAAAATCAAGAACAATCTCAGCAAGCCCAAATTATTCAACCTACTCATGGTATTCTAGAGCAAGTTAAAAAATAACTAAATAAGAAAGTTTAACCAAATAATAAGTTACATAGAAAGTAGAAAAAGACTATGGGTGTACGTGGGAGAGAGAAACCAATTCAATCAAGTTCGCCAGCAAAAGCCCTAAATTATTTATACTTTATTCGCCCTACTTAACCAAATTATTCTTATCTACTTCTTCAAAAATAACAACTACAAGTTGTACCATATAAGCAAAAACCAAATATAAAGCAAAAGAAATTAAGCAAACAAAGGTAAAATATTAGAGAAAGAGGATAGATTTTAGTAAGAATTTAATTAGTAGACAGTAAATTCTTGTTTTTTATCGAATTTTCTTAAATATTCAGTTACTGCTTGGGCAGCAATAGCCCCATCCGCAGTTGCGGTTACGATTTGCCGTATTCGCTCTGGTCGAATAACATCCCCCACTGCAAATAGTCCGGAAACTTCCGTCGCACATTTTTCGTTAACCAAAATATAATTCTTTTCGTCACAAACCCTTAAATTATGAAGGAAATTAGTGTAAGGAAGTAGACCAATGCAAGGAAATAAAGCACTAACTTCTATTTTTTTTTCTTGTGCTTCCTTTAAGTTTTTTAGGATAAGGCAAGTAAGCCTTTTTTGCTTTTCTGCTTCGCCGCTAATTTCGCTAATCGCAGTATTTAAAATTAATTGGATTTGCGGGCTTTGCCTAATTTGTTGTTCGATTTCTTGGTCGACCCGAAATTCTGCTCGGCGATGAATTAAATATACTTTTTTCGCCAGATTGCTTAAATAAAGCGCGGCTTCGCAAGCGGAATAGCCTCCGCCCACCACGGCCACCGTTTGGCCACGAAAAAGAAAGCCATCACAAATTGCACAATAAGAAACCCCATAATTAGTAAACTCCTCCTCGCCGGGAACTTTTAATTTGTTTTCGACAGTTCCCGAAGCAATAATAACTGCTTTGCCAAAGTAAACTGCATTTTTAGTCTTTGCCACAAATATTTCTTGGCTATTTTTAGTCAATTGAGTTATTTCTTCATCTTTTCAATCAATATCATAAGCACGAACATGCTTAGCCATTTCTTCGGCTAGTCCCGAACCACTAATTTTGGTAAAACCCGGATAATTTTCCACTTCTGCCGTTTTATTTAATTTGCCCCCGGCTAAATCTTTTTCTAAAATTAAAGTTTTTAATAAAGCTCGTTTAGCGTAAATGGCGGCCGCCAGGCCCGCTGGTCCGGCCCCGATAATGATTAAGTCGTAGAGCATTTAATTAGATTTGGTTAGCGAAGTTTTAATCCTTGTTGCTTCTCCTTTTTCAAACAAAAAAACCATCTGATTTCTTTATTCATAATTATTCTTGGCTTCTATTAATCGCCTTTCTGAATTTTGTTTGGTAGGGAATTTGCTTTGGCCTTGGCGGACAAATTTTTCAATTGAACGAAAGACACAAGTACACGGTGAACAAGTTTCTTTTAACTCTTTTTCTACTGCTTCTCAATCAACTTGGTGCTTTTGTACTAGCCTTTGGGTATAAATCTGTAGAGTTCGCAAAAATTCTCCTTGGTGAATCAAACTGTCTTCTAAATCAAATAACAGCCTTTGCTGACTTTTGGATTTTTTTTTTAACTTCTTGATAGTTTCCTGGTTATTTTTTAATTGTTGGAAAATTTGGCTGATTATTATTGTCATTATAGAAATTTTTATTAATTAGTGATTTAAATTTTTAATTTATAGTTAAATGTTTTTTAATCAAATTTTTTACCGTAAGGGTTGGTTGAGCACCATTTTTTAGCCATTTTTGCGTGCTTTCTTGGTTTAATTTTGTTTCCTGGGTGCGGGGATTATAATAACCTAAATCTTCCAAATAACTTCCCGTATCTCTTTTTTTGCGGCTATCAACCACAATTATGCGGTAAGAAGGCTGATGTCTTTTGCCTCTCCTAGTTAAACGAATTCTTACCATTACTTAACTGCTCCTTCTTTATGAGATTGAGTTTTTTGACAGAATTTACAATACTTTTTTAAATTTAATTTCAAATTTTGGCTTTGCATTTTTTTGGTTTTGGTCGTGCGATAATTTTGGTGGGAAGTATTTTTAGTAACTAAACATGCTTGACAAGTTAGCAGGATATCGCCTTTGGATTTGGACTTTTTTTTGTTCATTATATTATATATCTAATTTTAGGAATTTGCAGCCAAAATTAATAAAATTTTCTACGTGGTTTTTCTTCTTTTGGGACTTCTTAATTCTTAAACTTGATTTTAAAATTTAGTTATTTCCTTA